GAGGGTAGTGATTAAGGAAATAGTTGGCGAATAAAAAAAAAAGAGGAGAGTTTTCTAAATCAGGAAAAACGAAATGAGGAGTATATCGATCAAAGTATTAAGGGTGGTCTTTTGTAACCCGCTTACACGGTTTCGCTTTCATCCTCAACATAATCCGAAAATCGTTGCCCTTAATCCACATAGGAAATTACTTTAGTCCCAAGATACTCCGGGTAAATTATGGGGCAGAGAAAAGCTTCAAGAAAATGTCCTTCAAATTAAGTTCAGGAATTTATTTCATGAAACATGAGAAAGAGACATTTTGTGTTTTTCCATTCAGACTGAAGTTGAAGTAGTCATTATTCAAGCACCATTTTCGTAAAAAAAATATTTTAGAAATATATATACGAGGCGCATCCAGAAAGTGAATTTCCCTAATTTATAAAAAAAAAGAACTCGCATTTTCAGGAATATATTTATTGGCAACAAGTACAACAATGTTTAAGCTATTTTTCAACATAGCCACCACCAGAATTGAGACACTTGTCGTATCGTGGGATCAACTTTTGTATCCTTCTGTCATAGAATTGTTAATGGAAAAAGCGTGTGACAGACGTCTTCAGCTCTTCCTCATTGCCAAAACACGCAGAGGAGGACAGGAATTTCTTGACGTGCAAGAAAACGTGAAAATCACTAGGAGCAATATCAGGGCTGTAGGGTGAATGATCAAATAACTCCCAGTCAAATTCCGTCAAAACAGCTGCTGTACATCGTGCCGTATGTGGACAAGCATTGTCATTGAGGAGCGCAACACCTGCAGTAAACATTCCACGACTCTTGTTTTGAATAGCAAGTCACAATTTCCGCAGTGTTTCGCAGTAACGGTAGACGTCTGTCACACTCTGGTTCCATTCACAGGCGGCAGGGTTCTATGACAGAGGGATACAAAAGTTGACTCCACGATACGACAAGTGTCTCAATTCTGGTGGTTGCTATGTTGAAAAATAGCTGAAACATTGTTGTACTTGTTGCCAATATAATATATTCTTGAAAGTATGAGTTCTTTTTTTTTTATAAATTAGGGAAACTTACTTTCTGGATGCGCCTCGTGCCAAGAGTGCAGGGTGTCATGCTATCACCACGCTTAATCTATAATTTGCGGAACATTTGTCGACACGGAGAAAAAAATTCTGAAAAATCTACCACACTCTATGGAATGAACTTTCTGCTACCAAAAAACATAGTACTGGTTAATGAAAAACAATGTACGGTATTTAAACGATTCATTTTATAACTTTTCCATTCATTTGGTAATGGTTTACCAGGAATTCTGGTTTTAGAAAATTATAGTTCTTATTACCACACATTTAGTAAAAATTACGAAACTTAAAACTAAATTCAACCGAGTAAATCGTTTCAAGCCATGCTCTGAGGTATCATGATAAAATTGCTTAATTTTACCATATTTACCAAATTTTATTTCATATTACGCAATCATATTTTTTGTTAATTTTACCGAAATCATTACCAAAGCACTTTGGTAAAAATTACAAAGCTCTTTGGTTTTCCTGTAGAGACAGAAATACTGTAAATTTTAACTTATTCTGGTAGTTTTGACCATACTTTATTTTCAGTGAAAAATGGCCAAAAAATATACGATACTGTAATTAGTATTGAAGATATAAGCGAAAGCGTTATTCGTATTTGACGAATAATTATCGATGCCAAGCAGTTTAAAAACGGAATTACAACAAGACATATTATCGTATCAAGCCGAAAAGTGTAAGTATGCTATAGATTTCAAACTTCATTCTACCGGAAGTCAAATTCTTTGACGCTTTAAATGTTGCATCAGATGTAATACATCTTGATAATGATAGGTGGACTTTTTAAATTTTAGTTTCAACACTAACATTCATATTTTCGGATTTTTTTTAGAAAAGTACTCTATATTATGCGCGATAATTAGAAATACAACACACTGCATATGTATAATATTAGTTTATGTTTAAATGCAAATAAATATTTTTTATTAATTATTTAACAGAAAAAAAAGAAATCCAATTAGAATTTTAAATAAAGAAATTTGTTACTAACAGACGAATAGGGAATGGACTAGATACTTTTTCTGGAAAATTTTCTAGGTTTCAAATTTTTTTTCGAAATTACCTCTCGAAAGTTACAAAACACCAGAATCCTGTGATACAGATATCAAATAAGCTTATAAAAGAATGATGATTAATCAGCTATTAGAGAGTTTTTGTTATAACTATTAAAAGAACGCAGAACTGCCACTATTGTTGTCTTGAAAATAATAACGCTAGCTTCGAATATTTTTTTTACTAGTGGGTTGCGCCCCCTGTTCGCTGACGCTCGCCAACCCCCGAAAATTGCTACGCAATCTTATATGGTTTGCTTCGCAAACAAAGCTCGCTTCGCTCGCTACTAACTTAGATACATTGCAAATGCACAAAATTCTAAGAATTCAAAACAATCATTCAAATCCATATAAAAACTTTTTTTTTTAAAAAATTACATCTTTTTAGTAAATACTAAGTCATTAAAATAAATTTGAATTCAAATAAATGACATGTAATTTTTTTAACCTATTAGAAATGTGCTATAGTATAATTCGTGATATAAATAAAAAATCGTCAAATAAATTCGTAATATATAAATTCGTGAAAAAAAGCGCTTTCGACAAAATACTAAAATAAAGATCTATCGACAAAGACTACTCACTTCTGTCTAGCTTAATAGTATGAGACTGCCGCAGCTGATGCTCTCTGGTTATTTCCGTTTCCGTTTTTAAAAGCGCTATGTTGAGCCATCCCAGCTAGATTTGGCATGTGACATTTTTAGCGGCAAACATTGGTCGATTTTCTAGCGTTGCCATTCGGGGAGTTGTAATGAGGCTTTTTTTTGTCGCCGTGTAAGGGAAATATATATATAGATAGGTCAAAACTATCAGAAAAATAGCTTAAAAACTGACGTTACTGTTGGTCATAATATCAAAATAAACAGATTTGTGACAGAAGTTGTTATGGGTCGAAATATTATGACGTAATAAATTCGAAATCGAATCGTTCTTTCTTGTCAGAAAATAACCGAAGCAACCTAAAAAAAGTTGCGGCTATTGCCGTGTTATTCTTATATATTTATTTGAACTTTAAACTTTAAGAAACTTTATAAACCTTAAGTATTCGAAGTATTTTAAAATGCGAATATGCAATTCATTCAAAATTATTCAATGCTGTATCACCACTCTTGCTTTTAATGCAAACCTGAACCAACATGTATTTACCTATCAATTAAGACACTTAGATACCTTAATTGCCTCCAGCGAGCCCTGCATCTTCAATGCTTAATTCAGAGTTAAACATTGGAACAACGAAACCATTAAGGGAAGAGATTTCCAGAACAAATTCGATTGCAATCAAGTGAGTTAAGTAACCTCGAATTTGAATTTTGAAATCTAATTTTCGAGGGAATAAATAGAGTAAAATTGAATTGATTCATATTTGAAGTAGTGTAGCTCATTATCAAAATTATTAATTAATTAGTAATTACTAGGCATCGTGCTCTATTTTGATATAACAATGCTTGACAGAACTAATTAAAAAATTTTCTATTCAGAATTATTAAGATATTTGAAGGGTCGTGATTAAAATTTTCCTAAAAAGTGCTTTTCATTTTAATTCAAAGGTATTTTGTAATAAGTTGCGGTAGAAGCTATACATTTTAGTATCCAACAAACCAAGTGCATAACTGTTTTGAAGCAAATTATTGCTTATTTAAGATTTGAATTTAGATTGATTTTGTAAGCACATTCTCTGATCTCTGTTTTGCCAATCTCTACGCGACTTAATATTTTCCAGTAATTAGTTATGGTTGAAGTTAAACATTTGGTACCAAAGTGACTGATTATATGCGAACTAGCCACTTTTGGGGGCCAGCTTGGTCTTATACAGCATAGGCTTGTTCTTGTACACTTTAATGGTAAGTAAGCCGAGTGTAGAGCACAACTGTGATTAAATATTCTAATTTCTCAACCCCTCCTCCAATCCTAACACCTTAATTAGTTTTCAAACAATATACTAAACAATTTTTTTTACCGTCTAGTTATCCGTGGTTTCGTAGAAGTACTTTGATTTCCACTTAAATATTTTCCAGACATGTCTACACTATTGTCAAAGTTCTTTAGGTAATTGAATTTTAGTAATAATTTAAAATCTGTCCGGTTGCCTACCAACAACATGTATGACAGTTTGTAACACTTAAGCACCGTTTATGTTTGAAATTTCTATGTTATTTTTGAAAAGTTCAAAAATTAATTTAAGTAACAACTTCTTCGTTTAATTCTTATTTCTATGAAAATACAAAACCATCCTAAGTAAATATTTATGCATAACTAACTAATAAAAGTTGCTTGAATTTTTAATAAAAAGATTCTAAATAAATTCTTAACGTGTAACTATTTTTTTAACACTACGTTTACTTAAGACAACCTAACAGAATGAATAGTAAATATAGTGTTACCAATAGATAGATCAATACCTGAATTTATGGTGCCACATAAGAGAAATATATGCATATAATTTTTGTTAATTTTAATTGTTTCATAAATGAACTGACTTGAACATAAATTTTTCCGGGAAAAAAATGGGCTTCCTCCAAATGAAAAACTAAGCAGATAGGTCATTACAGTTTCTTTAAAAATGCAACCCAAATATTTTTTTTAAACTGTACATTTTAAACTTTACAACTCTTACTAAACTCTACATNAATCAATAAAATACATATATATATATATATATATATATTATTCTGCTTAAATTGAAAATAAGCTCATTTGCTAGTATAAATTGCGACTCATTTACAACCTAATCCAATAATCCATCGATGATAAAATTTAATAATTTTATTAATAAATCTTAATTATTAGCCTGTTGCAGGATCAAGATTTTCGCCAAGCTTCTTCGAAAATAATTTATATCATGCAATAAAATTTTGAAACTTACCGATATTTTATGAAGAACCTAATCCTCAAAGCGATTTTCCTAAAGTTTTCTTATCAAACTTCATTCTGCAAAAATGAATTATGAAAATAAAAAAACAATGTATTATGTATCATATATGTATTTAAAGAATTGTTATACATACCGAACTGAATGTGTAATTATAAAATATGGCCCAAATGGATTAAACAGAACCCAACAAAGCAAATAATGTTTTTAATAATAAAATCAGTATTGAGATTGAAAGAACTCATCAGTATTGAAACTGAATTAGTACTTAACAGTATTAAAACTGAAATTAGTACTCATCAGTAGTAAAACTAAAATTAATATCCATCAGTATTACTTATTAGTAGTACTCATCAATATTTTAATTGAAAGGAACTATTAAATAATATGGTTTAATATTAATCCAGAAATCATGCAATATCTATTTTCAGTCAAAATCATCGAATTTAAGTTGGTTGACACACTGTGTTTGCATCAATTTAAAAAATTTTGTTTAATTTTGTTTACTTAATTCTGTTCCTTTGAATAAATAACATCATTTGTACTTAAACAATTGCTGTACATAAATTGGAAAAACTGGGAATATTTTTTTCTGTTTTAATTTTTCAGTAATTGCTTTCTATTTTTACTACATCTGTTTCTGTCAATTTATTAAGCCTTCAATAAAGTTATTTGAAAACAATATGCATTGTTTTAGGATTTATTGGAGCACTTTTTGAGTTCCCAAACTTTTGGGGAACACTGCTTTAAAAATGACGCAAATTGGAAATCTAAAGTTTTGCATAATACGTTCGATATATTACTTAAAAAAAACATTACATACTAGTTTTAAAACCAATAAACTCAAATGAACTATCTTTTATTTTCTGAAAATATGACGCCAATTTTGTTTTTAAAAAAATAAAGGAGGTTACAGAAAATTTGAATGCTTAAACTAACTGATGGGTCAAATGAAGATAAAATTTAACATTTTAATAAAACAAATACCAGACATGTTCAAAATGATGCTGCATTTACTTTTAAGCAAATTTATAAAAATGTTTACATTAATACATTACTTAAAAGAAAACCAGAAATAAATAATAATAATTATGATCCTTTTTTGAGAACAGGCTCTCAGCGTTAAACTAACTATTTAATTAGTGAACAAACAATGTATTCAACTGCCGCATCTTACCTTCACAGAAAATCGATGGGGCGGTTGTAGTTCGGTACGATAATAGATTTCCTCTGTACATGATTTCTAAGTACACATTTGGAAGAGTGAATACATTATTCCATTGAGAGTGAATAATTAGAGGCTGAAATAATCGAGACAAGTAATTAATAATTAACTCAGACTGCGTATATGGTGTGCTTAGTTATGGTTAACAGTTAAAACTCGGGTTCTAAAGGTACAGCAAATAGAACGGAAGTTGCATTCAACAATACTTTCCATTATTTAATCATTGCGTTACATGTTGATTTTGTGTCAGCGTCACTTTTTAAGCCATTAATTTACATGAAATGAGGTTTGCCTCTTTATTTGAACTTTTATCTTTTGTGTAAATGAGCGTTAAAAGTTAAAGAAAAAAGTTCCTCACCGGAAATTTTACGGTTAATTGGATGGAAAGACTACTGCCGGTTATTTTACCGCAATTTTGAAATGAAAATTTTAATAGTGTAAGAAAAAAATTATTGACGCCCGGTGGCTGAGCGGTAGCTCTTCGCACTGTCGTGCCATAGGTCCCTGGTTCGATCCTCGGGCCGGGCAAGGCTGATTCAGCCTTTCATCCCTTCAGTGGGTCGATAAATGAGTACCAAGCATGCTTGGGAAATAAACACTGGGGGTTCCGCGTTTGGCTGACCACCTGACCGGAACATCTGCTCCTGCACCCCAGAGCCCGAGATCAAGAAAACTGAGATGGGCACAGTAGGCATTGGCCCTCAAGGGCTGTCCCGCCGCTGAATTTAGTTTAGTTTAAGAATAGTTAATAAAATTTTCTTCTTTTAATACAGACGGGATAAAATTTTTTTGAATCGAATCTTTTCAAAAAATTCAGCAACGACACATAATTGGATAGATGCGCTCTCATTCTGAGAGCGCTGATTCTTATACTTTTATCTTTAATCTAAATAAGCGTTTGAAACCCGTAAAGGTAAAAAAAAAAATGTTTTTAACCCTAAACTTAACGGTTAATTGGATGGACAGACAGCAACTGGTTATTTTACTGTAATTTTAGAAAGAAAATTTCAATAGGGCAAGAATAATTCATGAACTTTTCTTCTTTTAATAGAGCCAGGATAGAAAATTTTTGAATACAAGCTTTTCAGACAATTCAGCAACAAGACGCAATTTGATAGATGCGCTCTCATTCCGATTTCATTCCGCAAAACAAATACTTCCTTTCGTAAAAGTAAAGAGAAAACAACAGCTTGATGTATGTATTTCGCAAACTATTTTTTTTATAAATCGGACTTCTTTCGTTCAGAAGAAGAAATGGGAGACATGAATTCGGTATCTCAACCATCTCACGTTTTCGGTGTAGTCTTAGAGAACCCAGATCACGCCCTTTCCTAACAACATTATAGGGTGGCCCGCTTCTCCACGACAACATGAACTGCAGAAGAATCGGAATAGGATCATCTTCTCTTGGTCTTCCCGAAAGTCAAGAGGGTGGAGGGAAGTAAAAAGACAGACGATATTCCCCATCCCCTTAACAACTTCGATCTGGCACTTCTCTTTTGATCACCTTCCTCTTTTCTTTGACTCATTTTCTGATCGTCCGATTTTTCTGGTTCTTTGAATCTGATTTCCTGTGAGCAACCAACCCAGAAGGGACGAAATCACACAATTTCTTCCCCTTCTTTTCTTTCCACACCACTGTGGTCACAGTTATAGACAGTATTATTTGTTTTGTGGGGGATTTCGGTGATAGAGCACTTTAGTAGGGTGAGGCAAAAAAAAAAAAAGTTTCTTTCGATTTTTTTTTCTTCTTTCCCTTGAGGCAACGAAGAAGAAGATAGTGTCGAAGGAAATATTTTTTTGGTTAATGTGCTTTGTTCGAAACACAACCAATTACTTGGTTTAGGTTTTTTTTCGTTGCTGTTTCTTTGTTATTGAATGAATGTGAGCAAATTAGATTTATAATTACTAATTATGCTATTTTTTCTGTCTTACAATAATTGCGTCGAATATTTTCTGTGTTGTCTGGTAATAATTGCCCCATATGCTTTTCTGTATTGTTTTACAATAATTTTTCCAGTCGTTTTATTTACCGTATAATAACTGTATATGCTTTTTTTATTATATAAAAATAATTTTCATATATTTTTCTCTGTTGCTGAATATAAAATAATTTCCATACGTACTTTACTTTGTCGTCTCATATTAACTCCCATTGTGGTACAATTTGAAAGTAGTTTTAAAACAAGGATAAAAATGAACAAGGAAACAATGATATGGTATTGCTTTTTGTAGCGTAATTAGTTGACTAATAAATTGAATAAAAACACATAAAACTTTGCAATAATCGCGTTATTTTTGCCTGAATAGTAACATTTTTCACGTACTTACTTCAAATATTAAGGATGATAAATAATATTAAGATGTAGTCTCATTTCATACTTATTAGTTCCAGACATTAGGACTATATAAAGTGAGGAAAGAATCACACGAATCTTGGTTTGATTATAATCCAAATTGATTGAATAATTTAATTATCATTATAACGAATTTCCTCAGCCACGACAATTTAGTTGTTAGTCATCAAAAACTATTCGGATAACTGTTTCTGAAGGATAACTGTTTGTTACAGATAATAATAAAATGTAGTCTCATTTAATATTTATTAGTTCCAGACATTAGGACTATATAAAGTGAGGAAAGAATCACATGAATCTTGGTTTGATTATAATCCAAATTGATTGAATAATTTAATTCTTATTATAACGAATTTCCTCAGCCACAACAATTTTGTTGCCATTCAACAAAAACTTTTCGAATAGCTGTTTCTGAAAGATAAATGTTTGTTATAGATAATAATAAAATGTAGTCTCATTTTATGCTTATTAGTTCCGGACATTAGGATTATATAAAGCGAGGAAAGAATCACATGAATCTTGGTTTGATTGTAATCCAAATTAATTGAGTAGTTTACTTACTACTATAAAAAATTATACCCGCTACGTTAACTAAGCTGTTATTAATCAAAACCAATTCGGAAAACTGTTTTTCTTCAAACTCGCATATTTACAAAATTTTCCATCTCCCTTGTGGCAACACTACTACTTTTGTCACTGTGATACTCATTCATATTATTAAGAAAAATCCATCTGCGTCTTAAAATGGCGCAAAAGTAAATTTTGAACATACGACACGATAAAACTACAGAGTTCTTAAATGAATAACAGCTATTTCTACCGGAATAAAGAATTTAATCTGTTTCAAATACAGTAAAAGGAGATGAATAGTCAATAAAATATTCAAGGAATTTTATCGAACTTAAAATAATGTGACAGTGTTAAAGGAACGGAACAACGTAAGGTTGGATATTGAGTTCGGAGATATCATGTTGCATATAATTAAGGGCTCCTCGACGATCTGATTGATGAAACTTTAAACTACTTTCGGATATCCGTAATGTATGCAAATAAGGTTATGAAATTTGTCGAGTTTCATTGTGAGTTAGATCGATTTCGAAAGAATGAATATGTTAATTCAGATCATCTTCAGATAGTGAATAATTTTATAAATAACAAAGTATTTTTAAGCTGTTGTTTTGATGACAAAGATGATGACACTTTTCCCTACAGTCTGGATTAGTGAACATGTGCATTATACAGATTAACATCTCTGTAAAAACTATGGTGTAACACGTATCTGAATTTAGTGTTATTTCAAGTTAATACTGAATCGAATATTCACGTACACTTTTAAGGGTGTAGTTAATAAACAAAAAAAGAGAAAGCTTACACTAAGATCAGATGCTGTTACTTCAATCATGAAAATTATTTTCGCCAATTTTGGCGTCAGACGATCGATATTTTATGTTTAGGAATGTAGGAGTAAAGATGGCGA